ATAATTCTTTCTTATATATTATACATTATATATTATATATTATATATAGAGAGATATATATTCTAATATATATATTAGAAGTTTATAATTTTGATATTAAAAAGCAAATTTATAAATGAATATTATTAAAAGATTAAAAAGTTTATATTTTAAATTAACAAATGACATAGACGAGATTATTAAATTTATAACTTGAAACTTAAAATATCTAGATTTTGTAAAAAATTTTTAAAAATTATTTTTGCAATAAAATAAATCAATTATAATACAATTTTAGGAATAAAAAATATATTTAATTATATTCATTGAAATTATTTGAAATTTTTGAAAATTTCTTTTCCTATAATAATTTTTAAATGTTTGCAAAAAAGATATTTTTTTCAAAGATAGGAAAATTCAGGTCAGATTGATATTAAAAATATTATGTCATCAATTAATAATAGAATTAGTAATATAAAACATATTTTGCAATATATGATAAAATTAAGAATGTGCAAACTTAAAAATTCTATTTATGTTATGTGATAACTTATCATTCTAATAGACAATTCTAAGAAACAATCTTTTAGTTGCAATATATGAAAATTTTATCTATGATATTAAATAAAAATAAAATAACAAAAATAACTATTTAATGGTACAGGTTAATATAATGAAAAATAATAAATTTATTCGAACTAATAAAAAAAAATATTAATATAGAATTCTATGGAACATTCGACAACATTTAACATGGAACAACGACAATATTTTATATTGTAATTGTTGACTTCCAAAAGCAATATTTTTCATTTTTTTTATAAAATTGATTAAATTTTTGTAATTTTTTAAAATTAGTAAAATGAAAAATTATATTTCTTTAAAATGATAATTGATATTTTAATATTATAAAATAATTAAAAAATTAACAAAAAAATTATTCTTAATAAATTATGATTTCTTACTTTTGCAATAAACTTTTTCGACATCTTCACAAATATCTAAGTATTATTTTGATTCATTTAGAGAACTGATTATCTTTATTTTCGGAAATAATTTTTCCATATGTCAAAATATATGATTAGTGTTTTATTTTTTAGAAATCAAATAATTGATTTATTTTCACAGAGTACATTTTCTTATTTAACTTGGATAAGTTTCTATATGATATTTATAAATATTAACAATTAATGTTAAATGTTATTATGTTTACTGAAATTCTCATAAAATATCCATTATATATTTATGTAATCATATCACATCACTTTCGAAATACTAGTAAATCCTAGAGATCTATATTATTCAAATCTCGTTAAACAGATTTCAAATTTTTATTCGAAAACCAACCTCAACTATTGTAAATCAATAATATCTGCATTCGATGTCGCGAATTAATTATACAGGAAGCGCATATATTAATTCCAAGTACAGGATTCCTTGAATCAACATTGATGCATGATACACACGTGCAGCTGGAATATGCGAAATTGGCAGCATTTCCAAGCGGAAAACCATCTCATTCTATCTTATAGCGGTGTTGACTGATTACACGAATAACATTTGGCCAACGCAAGCTCGACATAGTATGATATATATTTTCGTTTAATGAATTTTTAGCAAGGAATTCCGTAGGCTCCCATGTGAATGCATGATACACACATGTTTTGTTGGAAGACCATTTATAGCTCTGGCTATTTTCGAATCGTTATTACATTGACTAATTCCAAGTATATGAACCGATTATCATAAAAGAAGAGATCAAATGCATTACTTAACTCTCACAGTAAGTGTAAAAAATATTTATATATACTTGTAAAAATTATATATTATTATTATATTATATTATTATATATATATATATTATATTATATATATTATATATTATATTATATTAATATATATCTTTTATATATTATATATTATATATTATTTTTTTATGTATTAATGTTTTTTTAATTTAATACATAATTATAGTATTAAATCAACATATTATTAATTAATATTATAAATATAAAAAAAAATATAAATAGATTGCGATTATTTATGCAAATTCATATTTTCATTATTATAATTATATAAACGAAATAAAAATTTACAATTTTACATATAAAATATGCAGAAATAGGCTGCAAAAGAAGTTTACGTAAATTTAATTAGTACAATGAAATCTAAATTTATAAATAACGAAAAGTATTAACTTTTAGTCACAAAATAGTTTTTTCATATGATTGAAAATTACAAATATTTAAATTTTTTAAATAAGAACAAAGTAATTTGATCTTTCTGAATCTCTCGTTTAATTTTAACAATAGAAAAAAAGTGTAAAAATGAATGGTGCAGTGAAGAATAATAACTTAATATGAATAATTTATTTGCAGATAAATTTAGAAGTTATATGAAGATCAATTTCAATATTTTTATCTTTATGCAAGCTAAAATCTTCAATAGTTTTTAAATTAGATTATTAATTTTTTATAGGAAATGATTTATCTGATTGATGCATTAAAAATTTTATAAATTCTATTTAAACAAATAAAATTGATTTTTATATAATGAATTGCATATATTCACTTGCAAAAAAATTATTAGCATCAAATTATATCTTCTTCTGCATTCAATTTTAATTTTTTTTTATCATCAACATCAAACGAAATATTCAAGGTGATTAATTTATTGCAAAATAAGCAAAAAATAATTATTATTTTGCTTATATATGATAAATATATTTTTTAATAAATAAAGTTTATTTTTAAAAAAAATATGTTTAAAAAGAATTGATGAAATCTTCTTCTGATTTTCCTTTGACATCGTATAATTATCATACAAAATTTGGAATTCGAATCATTATAATAGAACATTACAATTATTCAAACTAATTAAAAATCAAAAAATTAAAAAATTATTAAAAAAAGAATCAAATTTCTAAATATATCATGAAATAAATAGAAACTAAATCACTTTAAAATATGGATATTACTATATAAAAACATACATATTTCACAAGAGAAATAATATAAAAAATAAATTAATCAGATTTTTCAATCAAATACGCCCTAGAATATATTTTCTAAATATATGAATATTTTTTAAAATAAATCTTTTTAAATATGTTAATTCAAATATAAATATTCATCTTGTGTTCGTATAATTGATAATTGAATAAATTTGAATAGTTGACATTCCACTATATTTTATTTATATAATTGGTTAATTCTGTGATATATTTTCAATGCTTTCATGGTACAATGCAAAATTGCGTTATATTTTCACATTTCTGGGTCGATTGGTTTTAATGTAGCGCGGTGTGTTCGTTTAATCGAAACCAGCTGCTACTGTTCGATCGTTACACTCATTTATCGTTTTAGAGAGCCCAATTGGAAATGTCAGAATGCAAAAGATTGAAATCAATGTGGTCTTAATGGCTTCGTTATTTTACGTTTTTTTAATCCGGCTCTGATAGTAAGTATACAGTGAAACGATCTCTAACAATGTATTGTTTTTACATGATTTTCGGTTTAAAAAAAAATTGAGATTGATACAAAAAGATATAAAAAGATATTCAATTACTAACTGGAATTATTTTAAAAATAATATACATAATAATAATAATTATTAGATTTATAAAAATTAATTCAATGCCTTTTTAAAATAAAATAATGATGAAAAAATTTATTATTATTTATTTAGAAAAAAACTATACAATTTTTATTCTAAGAAATATTACTTTATTTCATTTTATTCTAAATTTTTATATTATCCTTAAAACAAGAATAGATAATTTTCGAGTTTCTTAATAAAAAAAAGAAAAAAATAATGGTTTTGATGTAATAAAGTCTAATTTCATTTCTTTTTTCAATATTTGAAAATATGTATCTATAATCAAATGATATTTGAAAGAATTTAAATGAATTATAATCAAATAAAATCAAATTAGATTAATTTGTATCCAAAAAAATTTTAAGGTTCAAGAAATAAATAATATTAATTTTTTATTTTTTTATAAGATATGCTTGAAAGATTTGTCATCTTCTGTGACTATTATTATTATTTTTTCCTCTCAAGTTCAATTTAATTTTACTAATTGATGCTAATAATGATTTGCATTTATAATGTAAGGTTTGGAACAAATTTAACTTACTATACTATATTTTTACTATATTCTTATTTTAAATGAGATATTACAAATATAATTTATTGTAAATGATTGCAATGTAAATTAAATGTAAAATTAAATGTAAATTAATCTAATTTATTATTTAATTTAATATTTTATTTAATATTTAATAAATATTGATTCAAAAAACTGATTTAGACATTATATGGTTGGTGAAAAAAGAGCATATAGTACATTGTTTAATTATTTTTTATAATTATTTTCGAAAATTTCAAGGATATATTTTCAATTATTTAAGTGAATATCATAATTTAATGAATAAAATATAGTAACAAATTGATTGTATTTATTAAATATATATATCTTATATATAAAGAAATATATATTTAAATCATAAATGAAATTCTATTCGAAAAGAAAAACGACATGTATACACAAGTAATATGATTCATCCATTATTGATTTTCAATACAATTATTTCGACTTTGTACTTTCGACGAAATGAAAATAGGACGACATTCGATTTTTTTTGCATTGAAAATTACAGCAACATTAATCATCGATGCACACGCAACGCGGATAAATCAGGCCTTTCTTCGAACGCGCAAATAAAGAACATATGATTTTAGAATTTCCTGCGGAAGCAGGAAGCATAATTTTACGAATTTCTCAAGGTTATCTTGGATCATAATAAACATTGCTTACGTTGCCTCGAATATTGAATATACACTTGTGCTATTATTACATTTTATAAATTCGCGTTGACACACACAGTGTTATATCTATAAATATCATTGAACGTCGTGAAAATCAAATTTAACTATTAGAATTATAAAACTCCGCGAAATGATAAGTTTTAAAATTTTGATTAATAATTATCGAAGATAAAGTTAACATTAATATTTATTAATAGATGGAAAATATGTTATAGGATATGGTTAATCATAGTGCATCAGATAAGAGAATGATTCTTCTTGAAAAAATTAGTCAAAAAGAAAGAATAAAATTTTTTCATTTGATGCTTCGTTTTCGAATAAATCAAGTTTGAAAATTTTTCAAATTAAAGTGAAATTGTCTAATTCTGATTGAATATTAATTAATTATCGATGAATATGAAAATAGATATGAAAATAAACAAAAAATATAGAATATAATTTTATTAATTTTTGTTTTTGAAAAAATCAAAATTGAACATAATTAATTTGTATAATTGCTGAATTTTTAAAATTTTCTTGAAAATTAATATTTTTAAATGAAATATACTTATTTTATATTTTTTATTTATTTTTACTATTGATACAGAAATATCAATAGTTTCATATGTAATCGGAAATTAGCTATTTTCATTTAAATTTGAAAGAAAATTCAATTCTTGATTCATTCGAAAACTAAGCAAATTTTATTCTTTTGATTTATTTTTTCATGAAAAATTATCTCTATCTAATTTCATACGATATCTTGTATAAATATGATTTTATTATAAGTTAGAAATAAGTTAGAAATATAAAATAAAATTTTCACACATAGAATAAGGTCTTATCTGACTTAATTAACACTATATACATATTTTATTTATAATAACTTAATTAATTTATATTAAATAATAATTTTAATTGATAAAAAAAGAAGTATTTATCTTTTATGATAAATGTTTCATTTAAGTTAAGATTCCTGTTTTATAGAAAAGGACCTTCATAATGGCTTGGATCGATTTCTCAATTGATCGTATTAAAGATTTCACGAGACCATGGCCTCAATTATAATGAATCTAAGGTGTTTCATCAGCAAAATGATCGGTTGAACCATTTCTTTATCGAAATCATTAATCTTTTAAGACATGCCTTGAATTAGCGGAAAGGATAATAAATAATCTCACGTAATCAAATAATCATTCAGAATTTACAGAAAATTAAAAGATCAAGAAATAATATTTGAATTTATTGAAAAATATAGAAAATATTAATGAATGATTTTACGTTAGAAATATAAGGAAATAAAGGAATAAGAGAAAATTAATAGTTTGGCAATCTTACATTTCACTTGAAAAATACACGAAAGTTCGTTGTTAGAGGTGCCAGATGTTTTAACATTAACTTTGACAGATGTCTAAACTAATGTTTATCAGTGCTGATGGATTTAAGTAAACTATATATATCAAATAAACATTTATCTCGTGTGAATGATGCACGAATATTTTGAAAATATGAGATATATAGTAAAAGATTTTCAAGATTACGATCATGAAAATACTTCGTAAATGATTTCGTCATTTGTTCATTTTAAATTGTTGCACAAATTTAATTAACATTATTAACATTATTATTATATAATTATTATATTATTATATTATTATATAATTAACAAATTAATATTATTTTTTAGAAAAAATTACGAAGTTTGTTGTTTATCATAATAATGATTTTATAATAATATTATTTTGTATTTTATATTTTTAGATAAAAAAATTAAAATTTGGAATTCGAAAATATTATAAGGATTAACATCTTGGAAATTATGGATATTACAGAATTTTCTTTTTGTAAAAATAATGGAAAAAAAAAATAAATAATTATTATATAAGCATCATTTTTTATTTTAAATATTAAATTAAATATTAAAATTAAATATTATATTTGACTTATCTAATTTTATAAAAATATATAAATAAAATGTAAAATATAATATAAAATATAATAAAAAAAATTAGATTCTATTAATGTTCTATTCATTCTAAAGGAAATTGCAGCAAAATGTAGAATCTTGTTTCTACCAAAATTCCAAAACTCTAGATTTTTAATTTAATTTTATATTTATAAGATTTTATTGCAATAAAATCGCATTAAGATTTTGAAAAGAGCCTCAAAGAATTTATCTTGTTTAATGAATTGTCATAATTGAATGATTTCGGTGATGGAAATATGAGTGACTTTTGTAAAAAATTAGATAAATTATTACTAGAATATTCATAGACATCGAATATGTTTTATGCGTATCATGCTATTTCGAGATACATGAACGAGCTTGCAACGTAGAAAGGTTACGAGGCCGTTTCTATCAACGATATTATTGACGAAAGCTTTTTATATAAAGGTAGTTTTTCTTTCAGTAATAAATAAAAAGAATTGATAAATAAATAGAAAATCGATATCTCACTTTTAATTTTAATCATTATAATCATGCAATAATCTAATCTATAAAATTAATTAATAAAACAATTATTTAATTTTGGATTATGCATATATGTTCTTATATTAATATAGAGAAAAAGTATAAATATGTAGAATAATTAATAAAATAAATAGCATATTGTTTAAGTTGAAAAAGTATTTAAATCATATTATGTATCTATATATGTGCAATTAAAGAATTGGATAATCAAATATATCGAAAATTATAATTATATGTAATAAGTATGAATTATTTCTACAAATAATAACTTTTAAAAAATTGATTTGTTATCAACGATAATATAATATAATTATTGAATAAAACATTCATAGCAATAGTTGATATTGAAGAAACCTGCATTCGATAAGTAAGAAATTTTGTTTTTGAAACATTTTATCATTATGTTAATAAATAAAAAATAAGAAGATACACATTTATTATTTTTAAAAATTAGAGAAAATATATTTGTTAAGTGTTAAAAATCTTGGAATTATTCTCAAGCATTAAAATAATTCAATTCTATTCTTCTTTTTATCGACCAATGATATATAATGTATAAAACATTAAATATTAATAAATCAAGATTCAATATAATAAAAAAGTATAACTATTTATATATGAAAAATTTACAGATATTTATATATGAAAGTAGTATAGTAGTATATTATATTTCTAATTAAAGTAGTCGAAAATAGCATCATGACATATAAAAGCATATAAAATGTGGATTTTATGCAAAATTATATTTGTAACATTCAATGAATGAAATTATAGATTTTATTATATTTTGGGAAAATTAAATGAAAAGTTAGTACTTCTTTATACTAATTCTTTATACTAAGAATATATAATGTTGAATATTTTAGAATTAAGTTAATAATATTAAGAATTAAGTTAATTTTAATATTTTATATGAAAACATTTCGATATGAAAAATTTTAATCTTTATCAGAGTGCTTTGTACATTTATCAATAGATTATTAGATTTAGATTTTATTTTTTTGGGATTTTATATGAAAAGTGGCGTATTTATATTTCTTCATATGAATTATATTTGTATATTATTTATTTATGTTTATATTGATCATTGTTATTCAATATATTAGGGACCTTAATTAAATTAAAACGGACACTATACAATGAGAGCAAATATTTATATAGTCCGATGATTTTACATACCTATTTACATCCTCCACTTCTAATATGTATGTTCGACACATTTTTTTTTTCAATAAAAGAAATTTTTTTTAACAAATATTCGTTATACACTACTTTCACACAAATATCTATATTATATACAAAAAACTAATTAAAACTGCGATAGATTTTATTATAAAATTGGACAAATGATCGATTTGTTATATATTCTTCAATTGTTATGTTAGAGTTCAATTGTTATGTTGCTACACATTCAATAAGGGTTAATTCAAAAAATATTT